GGGGGGACTACATACGCAGTATATAAAATTCACACAATTATAATAAGCACTGTGATCCAGCTTCGACCGTTATAGGCTTTCTTCATCTAATAATAATAATATTATTATTATTATTATTATTATTAATATTAATAAATCATTTTCATGCAAATCGTACTATAACAAATTAAAGTATAGACGGAGAGAATTTTCTTACAGTTTAACCTGAAAGTATGATAGTCGTGGGACAACATTGTATTTTGAAGAATTTTCTCCTAAATCTCTCTCATTCATTAATAAAACTATATTAAAATATAAAATAAGTTTGATTAACTTTACTGAAGTGCAAAAATCCTTAAAGTATTATATTGTACCATAACTATATTATATCATATTTCTTGGATAAAAAACATTCTTTCCGTGTAGGAATCGAGGTAAGTTGAAACAAGGTGTGTCAACCTACCTCGATCATTCTATCAAAGCTTTACTACAAATATTTCCTACAAAACTAATAAATAATAAACAAAACTAATCTCAAATAAAAAACTTAAATTACTAAGCTACCAGAATATCGAAGGTAAAACCCCGGTAATGCATAAACAAAAGAGATACTATATTCCAAAGAATATTGCGAAAACTTACTTTAGTTTAATTTGACGCCACGAACGTCATAGAGACGACACGCTTACTACATGTCGTCAACATAAGCTGACAAACTAACCTTTGTCTTACGTGTATTAAAATTGTACTGTTGCCCGATTATCGACTATTATTGGTTTCGAGATATCGACGTTGTTTCAACTTACCTTTGTTTCAATTCACCTCGGTCTCCCCTACATTATAACGCAGCTATTAGTCCTTCAACTTTTATAGTTTCGAGCACTGTTTTTATATTCTGGAAAATTTTATAGGTGCAGTTTATACAGCCAAGATAAGAATAAGAATAAGAACGAATGCGTAATAAAGACACAAGAGATACGTACAATAAAAGTCAAATACATATTCGCGTTAAAAACGCTATATGCTCGCTCATAGAACAACATGTGCTCGCTTGTCAACGGTCTCTTCTTCTTCTTCTTCTTTATTTTAATGGCTCGCAAAAGCCCGCGATAAGACCAGTATTTAATGTAGTGACTTGTAAACGGAAAGATGATGAAATGACAGCAAAAATGGCATAGACACCGGGCGCCTGCGTCTACGACGTCGTCACGCTGCAAAAACAAACGAACGGATCGTCCAGATTTTTGCGGGATAAATAAAATCAAAAAGAAGTACAATTTAATGCACGGTCAAAGTCGACACTACTTTCAAAAAATATATGATTGAAAGAATTGCTGAACTACGGTCTCAACGGTAATAACCCATCAGCCTCATCGGATATTATTTATATCAGTTGATCTAATCGGTTATTTTTATTCATCGAATATATTTCATCGCATCGGATTTAATATACATATTTGATCGGATATTAAACTTGATCGGATAAAATATTCTCTTTTTATCCATTCAAGTTTAATATCCGATCAAGTTGTAGGTTTATTCGATGAAATTTTAACAGATAGGCATATGGCGATTTATATTCCGTTTTCGGAAATTATATTTCATCCGAGGCCGAGCGTTGTCATGAAGAAAAATAACTTTATCATGTCTTTGCTCGTATTCCGGCCGTTGTTCTCGCAATGCACGGCTCAAACGAATCAATTGTAGCCGATACTGATCGCCCGTAATGGAATCGCCAGGTTTCAGCAGCTCATAGTAAACAACACCCTTTTGGTCCCACCAGATACAGAGCATGATTTTCGAACCATGAATGTTCGGCTTTGGTGTTGATGTTGAGGTCGATGGCAATGATTGACAGGGCTTAGCGTAGTATTTTTTCTCCTTGGGGTTGTCGTAGAATATCCACTTCTCATCTCCAATCACAATCCGGCTTTTCTTTGTTGTCTTTGAATCAGCTGCTCGCAAGTGAAAAATCGCCTTTCAACATCTCTCGGTTTCAGTTCATAAGGCATCCAATTTCCTTGTTTTTAAATCATTCCTATGACTCTCAATCGTACAGAAACGGCTTGTTGTGTTATCTCCCAATGATTCTGCAAGCTCCTCTTGCGTTTGACTCTGATCCATGGTAGAAATATACCATGCTCTGATCTTCTTCGAGTAAAGGTGCCATTTCATGCAGCGAAGAAAAGCTGGCGTTTTACCCCCACTCTACCATAATGCCAAGCAGCGCTCGAGAGCTGTCGATTTTACACTGAAGTTCGGAGTGTCCCATCTTTAACGAAAAATGGTTGTGTTTAAATCGTTTAAATTTAAGTGAATATGTAAAAGAGAACAATGAGTTTTGTCGACGAGGTGCATGTATTATTAATATTAATAAATTCATTATTTACTTATTTATTTACTTTTTTACTTTTTTATTTACTTATTATTATCATTATTACTTATTATTACTTATTTTATTACTTATTATTATTATTATTACTTATTATTTATTATTATTACATATTATTATTACTTTATTATTATTATTATTATTATTATTATTATTACTTTTGTTATTTACTTATTAATATTAATGAATTCATTATTTATGGTAAATGTACCAGTTAGTGGACAGTTAGCAGACACTTCTTCGTTGGATAAAGGGGTACAAAATTTTAAATATTAAGCTTTTAATGATATGTGTGATTTTAAATAAATTTGTTGTTTGTAATAACAAATTAATTTAGACTCGTACATATCATTAAAGCTTTATATTTGAAATGATTTTATCGCTTTGTCCAACAATTGCTTCATATGTCCATTAACTGGTACATTTACCTTACTTATTTATAATTATTTACTTTTTTTTTTACTTTTATTTCTTTTTGTAAGATCTTTCTTTTTCGAGCAACTTTGGCATCTTTGCATATAGAACCTGTGCTCGTCGTTTCCTAACCTCCTTCGCTATTGTCTTTCGTCTGCTCGCCGTCAACATACGATTAAAACCGTTTAAATGCACTTTTACACACATCGTTATATACAGGGTGTCCCAGTAACTCTGTTACAAGGCAATATCTCTGTTACCGTTAATGATACGCGAAAATGTCTAAGGAAGAAATTGTTTGGTTCGGAGGGGAACATGTACTGGTCACCTTGTTTCTTTTCTAGGTGGAGGCGCTAAAAAGATATGAAGGTCACCTTCACTTTTTTACATGGAATTATGTAATTTTTTTTAGATAACATGATTCCTCTAATTACTTGCATGTAAAAGTATTAAGGTAGAGATACCAAAAAACCAATAGTTTTCGAGATATTTTACACTTTATTATGTAGGTATGTTCATTTTGAATTTGTACCTTGATTAATCTATCATTTACTTTTCGTGGTACATATTCAACATAGAAAATAACATAATGTATGTTCACTTTGAACTGGCACATTTAGTAATATATTAGTTACTTTTCGTGGTCATATATTATATTAAATAATATCATTTAAAGTATTAAAGGTTTAAATTATTATGTTACATTATTAGATAATCATTTTAATTTAGAAAGATTCAAATTTTTGGGTATAATTTTAAAAATAAATACTTATAAATATTCAATATTGTTATTTCTTTCCATTAAAAAATATATCTTCAATATATGTTCAAGATTTGTTTGCGTTGCTTGAAACCCAAAAATTTTTATACTTAAAATGAGATTGATTGTATATTTGGGCGTTAAAAAAAGAGAAAGCGAAGAAGCTGAATGCAAAAAGTGCAAGCAACGCGAACAGAACTAATAAATATGTATATCTATCTAACAAAAAAAATTGTACATACAATAATTTTAATCAAAATACGATAATTTTGTACTGTTGGTACGATTTTTAATAATGCGGAGGTTGGCACGCTGGTACCACTGATATGTATATATGGATAGCGGATGGGCTGCAATTCGTGTGCCGACTTAGAGCCGCCATGTTGACTCGACTATGTCATTTTCGGGAATTGTCGGTATCTGTCGGGTGCATTCGTATGTTTACATTCAGTTCTGACGATTGCTCGTCATCTTGCACCCCTCGACGACTCGGGCTCTCATGACGCGCGTTATTGCGACGTGAAAAATATGAAGTGCTATTTCTGTGGGAAAAAGGCAGAGAAGACTGCATCGGTGCAAAGAACTCTTCATCGGTAAGGGAAATTTGCTAATAAATTACGTTATTGAGGTTATGCGATAAGTTTAACCAATATTTATTCTTGCATGGAAAAACTTATTTGTAAAGATGAAAGTAAAAAATTAAAATAATAATAAATTATTAATTATTATTATTATTATTTATTATTATTATTATTATTATTAATTATTAATTTAAATTAATAGAGATTTACTAAAATTTACTGAACATTTCAATGAAATTCAATCGACGCCAATAAACGATAAAACCGTAATAAATTTCAATCGCTCGTTGATTTAAAACTTGTACAGATTTATTCAAGTTTATTTACTGACGATTTTAATGAACGCCAAGAAAGTTGTGAATTATTGCATTTCAATATTCTTCTTAGGTGTTCAAAAATGATATTGAAAGAATTACAAATTTCAATTCTTTTTAATTCTTTTTCGTTTACCGGGATATTTACAAACATTTACATTTTATTGCATTATCATTTTATGCAATCATCGACGTTATTCGCCACCAAGCGATAATGTTATGTTTATACTGATTTCAAAGCTCCCGCGGAACCGCTAACCTTCATTCCACACTCCCCCCACTTCTCAAATGACATACCTGAGTCAACATGGCGGCCCTTCTATTCCGCACAAAAATTTAGCATTGCTGGTATAGGGCGTTCGCTATCCATATATACATATCAGTGGCTGGTACACAGTCGCAAGTATACAGACACATATAAATATTCAATATGGCGATGAAATGTTGCAAGTTATTCCTTTCGGCGGACATGGCAGTACACGGAACATTTTTCATGACCAACTTTTTTCTCCATATCCTATCTAGTTAAGTCTCCTTATTCTTACTTCATGGTCCATGGGTATGACAGATTTCTTAACCTCAACAGTCGTCAACTCGGTTTAGAGGGCAGAGCGGCACTTTTTATTGTTAGATTCGTTCGTTTCGTGCAAAAACGTATCGAATGAGTGTATTTTTATCAAAATTTGAACCGAACGGGGTATTCTATTTTACCACAATAACAAACCTAACCTTCACGCATTGATCTTAGCGAATTTACAATCGCATTACTTTAATGTTGAATTTTTCCTTATCACGGATTCTTTTCACAATCGCACACAATACCTTTTGCATGACACAATGATCGTTCTACAAGTACTACGTCCAGAGAATTTAAAGTTGTTTTGGTGAGGACAAGTGTATAAGCAGAGCAGAGGAAGGATGCCAAGCTGCACGAGTTTGATCAGATTACTTAGACGACGTCTTGTTCTTGGGCTCATCTTTGCTCTGTCACTGACATATTGTGCCTTTTCGTTGCTCCGCAATGAAAAGGCAGGTACAATTATATCAAAAATCAAATTACGTTAATAATCTGACTATGAATCTACATGGATATTATTATAACTTTTCTTATAGAAGGTTTTATCTTTTTTTTTTTTTACAGAAAGTGCTACCGAATCTAGACAATAATTTTGATATGGATCCTATGATGATTAATGATAACAATGAAGATATGGTACCCGATGATAATATGCTAGAAGAACTAAGAGCATCTGATAAATCTCCACTGTGGCAGATGGAAATACTGGATCAAGCAGCTGGTGATAATGCAGAAAATATAGATGCATCTAATTTAAACGAAAGTGATGCTTATAATCAGTCTTGTCGTAATTCTGTTCAAGTAAGCATTTGTATTAATACATTAATTGTCAAATATGAGTTAACTTGCGATTAGACATTGACTATTCGCTGTTTTTTTTTAAATTATGAACTATTAAATATAATAATATATTAAAATAACTTGCTATAAAAAAGATGTTAAACTTAGTTATACAGTAACAGTCAAAGTTTCATTTTGTTTATTTTGATGAGCACATAATATATATTTTTCTCAGGGAAAGGGTTTGATAGTTGATGATCACGGTGTAGTATGTTCAAGACATGAAGTGCTATTAAATGGATGTTGTGTGATAGAGCAGAAACAGTCTCTAAAAAATGAAGAATTATCTATGACTAGGAGAGAAAGGTATAGCTGCAAAACTTGCAATCCTCAAGGATGCTGTACTATTTACGAGTATTGTGTTTCCTGTTGCTTGCACCCTGACAAGGTGACTTTTTATTAATTTTACAAAACTGCTTCTTACAGCATACCAAAACCATATAAAATATACCTATTTCCAAGAGTGAAATCGCTATTTTTATGATTTAAATTTATTGTAGCAAATACGAGGTCGGAAGGACTTATCAGTAGGGTCCGCAAAAGTACAAAAAGATATAGGAAGAACGGCTCATTTCCAGATTTGTCTAACCGCTTGTCGCACCTCGAGTTCTAGTGTTCGACGCGACAACACTTACAAGGATCCCCTCGCGAAGCACTGTTATATCCCGCAACGATATCGTCGCAATATTAACTCATTAAATAATAACGGCAACAATCCTGCCGTTGTCGTTACTTCTTCTTCTGTGGTGATGTTACTATTTCCCTCTCCCAAATCTTACTCTTATTTATTCAATCCTACGTTATCTGCATCGGTTTTATACTAATATTATCTAATTATTATATTATTTCATCGTAAAATAATAGCCTTGAGGTAACCCTGCATGGTCAATAATACTGTCAATATTAACAAATATTGATAATATTACTGATCGCGTGTAATTAATATTGATGGATTGATGTAGAATATTGACAGTCGGAAAATTTTGATTTTCAATCATCAGTATTGTTTGTATTAGAATTCATATTACAGTATGTTACCATGCAATAGATAATATACGTAAAATTAAAGTGAAATATATTATCAATAATGCTGATCATATAAAATTATAAAAATATCAAAAATATTGATGCATACTGGCAGCATTACACTGATATGTATTACTGACCATGTAGGATCACCTTTGTAGAAAACAAATGTCTCTGAATTAATATAATATAGTTAAACGTTTTACAAAGAGGAACGAAGACCGCGCACAAGAACGGATTTAAAACGCCATACGTCTGAGTATTTTATATCCATATTGGGATTCTTTTTCTTCAATAGCTCTAAAATCTCGCTTCTGATGGTTTCCTGAATTGGATCATCCTATTACAAAAATATGAACACATTTTATTCGTTATATTTTTTAGATTTATATTTTTGTTATTCATTTGCAATAATAAACTGTGTTTTCTGCATACATCGACAATACTACAATCTGCTGATGCATAATGACAGGAAATCGCTTTTCTCGTTCTCTCAGATTTATTAATGCTAGATCCGTGAATGAGCAATGGATGAAAGAATACCGTGTCGCCGGGTTGCATCTCAAGATTCACCCACGGGTTGAGCATCGAAGGTAATTGCTTCATAACAGAAAAATGTTAATTAAGTAATGATATGCAAAAGTAACATTTCGATTAAAAGATGTATCTTACTTGTATGCCATGATAAAACTTGTTCATCACTCCTTCCGACTCCGGAGGATAACCGTGTGGATACATCTCCCCTAAAAGATGTGATCCAGGTGCTACATAGAGACATCCGTTTTCACTATCACAAGGTTCCATGGCTGTCCATGCAGCTACTATATGATTGGCTGGTCGTAACGGGAAATAATACAAATCTTGATGCGGCGGGTGTCTAAAAAAATACACTATGTATTCTTTTTAGTCACGTTACGTAAATAACATTGACAATATTTTAAGATTTTTTAACGATTACCTTGAACTTCCAAATCCTCTATCGGGTGGCTTCACGATGAGCATACTGTGTATCGCCATGATGTTTGGTCCTGTAAAACACTCGATTATGTCAAGAATTTCCTTGTGTTCGGTATATTGACGGAATACCGGATCCATATGCATATCTTGTATTTTAGTTAGGGATTTCCTGTCCTTCACATCGTACATCATTATCATTACATCTCGCTGATGTTTGTCTTCGATGACTTCGTTCAATCTGAGAAAAAAATAAAAGAGAACTTTGTTTAAGTACTTATATACATTTCCAAACAGTACATCCTTTATCCGAGAGACGTCCTGGGAATGCTCCTAGAATGTAAATATCCTCTGGATATTTTTAACATATCGTTTGGATTGTGTGTGTGCTGCATATATTATAGCGTACAATTTTTAATACAGGTTATTTGATCCTTCCCGATATATGCAAAAATTATCTCTACCTTAATACTTTTATATGCAAAATAATTAGAGGAATCACGTTATCTAAAAAAAATACATAATTCCATTTAAAAAAGTGGAGGTGACCTTCATATCTTTTTAGCGCCTCCACCAAAAAAACAATTATTGACATCACATTATGTGCCCCTCGAAACCAAGCAACTTTTGTTTGACACTTTTTCTTCTATTGTCAAAAACAAGCGAGTTATTCAGATTACCTGTTTTAAATGCCCCTCCCTATATATATTAGGATAGAATCTCACGTGATCTCACTGGTCTCATCACTATACAGTCTATACATGCTATACGTTAGCCTATAGATGCGTTCCGTTTCACGCATAGTGCGTATGATATATCACTTTATCCTTGTTGTTCACAGAATATTAAAGAAAGATAAAATGATACATCATGCGCATAATGCGTGAAACGAAACGCATCCTATACGTGTGAACTGTGAATACAATATACAATGTGAAAAAAGACGTCGTGATTACGTGATTAAGAGAGCTAATCAGACCTATTCCTTTAACGTCGCATCTCTATTTTCTATAGCTCTAGTTACGACTAAAACTTTTACGTGCGAGAAATAAAGTAACGATAAAAGTAATTAGTGAAATCGTTATCATTACCCCAAAAATGTAGCTACGTTACCATGAACGTTACTCCGAAGAAAATGTAACGTCATTATCTATTTGTTACCGAAAAAAGTAACTTGTAACGGTAACGACGTTACAAATAACGTATTACTTGCTAACCCTGAGCAATCCGTATTGAATAATCGGTCATTCGTGATATTATAGTTGATCATATATAGCATTTGCGCTCATGTTAGTATCAGTCAGCAGATTTACTGAAACATCAAACATTTCAATTAAACTGCTAGTATATCGAGCTATTTTTATAGTGTAAACCGTCCACAAGATTATTCCGATTAAGGTCTCTGCAATTTTTATTATAGTTTAAAGACTTTTTAATACCCCCGCGCATCTATACGTACCTGCATGCACCGAATAAACATATCATTTTACAGTTGTACAAAAACTGCAGTGATTAAAACAGGGAAGTCAGTAACTTCTATGTGTATATATACATATATATATATATACATATATATAGTATATACATATATATATATATACATATATATAGTATATATATTTGACATACGTGGAATATTTTCTTCATATAAAATCATCATACAAAACTCTAGGGTAATTATTTAGAATAGGGGAGGCAGCACCGATGACCTTGACCTTGACATATGTTATCAAGGTTATAATTCTGAGTAACTTTGCCTTAACAACTAGCCGTCGCTCACTCTTCGTTAAAAAGTTATTAACAATTATAGTTTTAAAATAGTAAATGTCTCAATCAGGGGACCTCCCTCCAATGACTTTGACCTTGACATATGTTGTCAAGGTCATGGCCCTGAGTAACCCTCAACAGGTTTTAGCTGTCGCTCGTCCTTCGTTACAAAATTATTAACAATCATAGTTTTAACATATGCTATCATGTATGATATGAAGTACTATTCTACACCTTTCCCTGTTCAGAAACGTTGAACTTTCCACGCGAAGTAACTTTCACCCCCTCCCCCCCCTGCACAGGGGCACACGACTTCTACGATTGTATTGTTGCTATGATAATACTGTCGGGAGAGACCTCTGTCGACGGTGTGGGTGCGGGGGGGTGGCCGAAGGCTACCCCCTTGCACCCGCCCGTGTGTGTGTGTGTAAAATATCAAGTAATAGACTCATAATCGTTAT